ATATATATCGTCACCAATAGAACTGCCCGGTAAACCGTAGGCAGAGAGAGAGAAGAGGACAACAAACGAGGGGCTGTGACAAACTGTTTCGTCGGAGTTATATATATTGTCACATAGCACGCCAGTAAACAAGAGCGTGCGCCCCGGGGGCAGGGCACACGTGCATTTGTTCTTTTTTTCCTTTGATGTTCACAGCGCAGGCACTAAATGAGGGGGCGGGGCACACATGCATTTGTTCTTTTTTCCTTTTAGCGTCCCTGTTTTCCTTCTCATTTCTGTGCAAAGAGGCGCGCATACCGAAATGTTCACAGCGCACCACTAAACGAGAGCTCGTGGCCCGGGGTCGGGCCACACATGCGTTTGTCCCTGTTTTCCTTTTCATTTCTGTGCAAAGGGATGCGCGTCCTGAAATGTTCACAGCGTGCCACTAAACGAGAGAGCGCGCCCCATGCGTGTGTGGGTGGGTGGGTGGGCGTGCGGGCGGGCGGGCGAGCGAGCTAGCGAGCAAGTGAGTGTGCGTGCATGCGTGCATGGGCAGGCAGGTGGGTAACGCTTTTTCTCTTTCATCTGAATAAGTGAGACGACCGCGGGCGGGGGCACAAAACAACAGCCGAGCGATGAAAAGGAAACGACAATAAAAACAACAAAAAAAAAGGGAACAGCACGCAAGAAATGAAAACAAAAGAAAAAGAAAGGCCGCTCAAGGATGGCTCGCCTCCAAGATGTTCATCCGCATCCACGCCGGCCGTGTGCCCCACCCCTGGGGCACGCACCCACGTTTAGTGGCACGCCGTGAACATTTCGGTACGCTTGCCCCTCTGCACACTCCCCCGTCCTCGATCGCCTTCATCTGCCGCCCCTCGCCAGAACTTCGACCCGAATCCGGCGCGCAGCGCGTATGGGCAACATCAAGCACAGTTCGGCCCTTGCCAAAGCAATGCGGCAGTCAGCAGTGGGCTGAGCAGTGTTATGTGGCCTGGGTGATACTGTACGGGTTAGGTCGTATCACGAGGGGTGGATCATTCCATGTGGATTGGGCGGTACTATATGGGATGTGGGTTGGGCGGCACTGTGTGGGATGTGTGTTGGGCAGTACTATGTGGGGCGGGTCATATTATCTGGACTGCGGAGTACTATGTTGGCAGGGTGGTAGTATGTGGCCTGGGTGATCCTAAGTGGGTTGGGTGGGTCATAGTATGTGGACCAGGTGGTACTATATGGCCCAGGTGATACCATGTGGATTGGGTGGTACTATGAGGGTGGGATCATAGGATGTGGACTGGATGGCACTATGGGGGCTGCGCAGTAGAGTGCAGGGTAGGCAGGCAATGCTATGCGGTCTGGTGGTATAAATAATCCCCCCCCCCMCCCCCTCACCTCAAAAAAAGAACACCAAAAAAAAAAAAAAAAAAAGCAAGCACATTTGCCTGAATGGTACACCAATGAACTGTTGATAGGCAGACCCGGGCTCAAATCCTACAAAGAGAAGTACGGGCATACTCACATTGGGACTTCTCTGGCAGAGCTGTGGACATGACTGCGGTCAGATGCATCGAGCTCTGGCTGCAATTGCTGTCAGATACATTCTTATAAGTCCTAGTGTCAGTATGCCCAGATCTCCTCCTTCCTTTGAGGTGAGCTACACGCAGATCGAGCTCCTGCCCTGTTTCTAATGGTCACATCATGTGTCTTCCTTGCATTGAAACAGGCGTACGGCAAAAAACGACAAATGTTCAAAATCACAAGGAACACTGCATATCTGGCACAGCAAAAACACACACACGTAGTATCCTCGACACCACCATCTCGCAACGAAAAAACAAAAAGACTCCATGCGGTACAACAACATGAAGCGGTGTCCCGCGGAACCGATTTCTGCTGGGCCTGCAGGCACCATCTTACTGTGACCGCTTCTTCATATACATATTACGTATGTGGATGTTGATGTGGACAGGTGGATGCCCGTGGTGCACACCTCCTTCCCCTCCTGACCAAGCCATGAAAAAACAAAGAACGCATGGCCAGAGTTAGGCACAACTCGGCCCTTTGCACGCCCGTGCTGTGTGATGTGGGATAGGCACTATCATGTGGGCTGGGCGCTATCATGTGGACTGCTCGGTACCTTGCGGGGTGGGTCATCGCATGCGGACTGGATGTACTAACACACACAGCCACAGGAAAAAAAAAAAAAAAAAAAAAAACCAGCCACAAAGAAGAAAGCACACGGTTAATCACTACTCCACCCCTGTGGCAGCATTATAAGGCCTGCATGATTCTACGTGGGTTAGATGGTACCATTGGACCAGGCAGCACCATTGTACTATTCCCGGTGGTACTATATGGGCTGCGTGGTATTATGTGGCCTGGGTGATACTATGCAGGTTGGGTCGTACTGCTCGGGGTGGATCATACCATTCGTAGCAGGCAGTACTATTTGGGACGTGGGCGGGGCCGTACTATGTGGGTCGGGTCATACTCCGTGCACTTGTGCTACTATGTGGGCAGGGTGGTATTATGTGGCCTGACCTGGATGATATCTAAGGGGTCATACCATATGGACTGAGTAGTGCCATGTGGCCCAGGTGATACTAAGCAGGTTGGTACTACTCCATGGGTGGCTCATGGTATGTGGACTGGCCGGTAGCGTGGGGAAGGTGAGCAATGCTACATTGGCTGGGTGGTGTAAAGGACCCAAACAAAAAAAATAAAATAAAAACAAAAGAAAGTCCACACGGCTAAATGGTGACAGACTAGAGCTCCAATCCTAAGTGAGGGAAGCAAAAAAAACAACTCGGGGCTCTTTTTCCTCCTCATTTGCGGTGGGCTCCACGGGGATTCGAGCCCCTCACTGGTTGCCAGCAGCCACGTCTCTCCCTCCCGTCCAAACAGCCCTGCTACGTACTTGTATTCAGACATCCCCTGTAAACGACAAACCGGAGCGAGCAATCCATATGAATCTCCAGACCAGCCCGCAACAGCAATCAAAACCAATAAACCAGAGCGAGCAATCCATATGAATCTCCAGACCAGCCCGCGACAGCAATCAAAACCAATACAGAGCGCAGGAACCCAGACCTGGATGAATCTGACCGCAACCACTTCCACAGCTTTGTTGAAAAAGTTCTGGTGGTTGCTGCACCGCTCACCCAAAATGATTTTTCGGTGAGGCAACATCACCGCACTACATCACCAACGGATTCGTGTCAGAACTTCGTCAGAAGTTGTGACTATTTGAGTTAGTGAGGGATCACCGAACCATCACGAAGGCCCCACCTTACAGCCAGCTTTCTAACCACTGCCAGGGTTCTATTGGTGAGTAGTGCGGCGAGGCCCTATGCCCTTTTCATTTTCTAAAACTGTAAGGGATATAGGTTTATAAAACGGATCTATTGTCCCACCTCAGGCTGCTGCATCTGTTTGTTCGTCCGGCAAAAACGAAGGAGATCCCACTATGGGTGGAGCAGGTGTATACCCAACGCTGCATGTGGTACTATGTTGTAGGTTGTCACCACAACAGCCCCTGTTCCACCCAGATGACCAGATCCAGAATCGAAGCAGCACTACCTCTGTTGCAGACAATGAAACGCACTTGAGATGAGAAAGTCCAACAACGAAACGGTTTTACCTCTATAGCAAGCAAGATGACTCACAATGCACCCGTTATATCCCTTTCTTGACTATCTTTACTTGGGGCTTTTTTTGGAGTACCATTTTTGTCTGTTCTTCTTGACCTGTCTCTTATACACATCTAGATGTGTATAAGAGACAGTGTTCTTGCAGCTCCTGTTGTAGGTTGTCACCACAACAGCCCCTGTTCCACCCAGATGACCAGATCCAGAATCGAAGCAGCACTACCTCTGTTGCAGACAATGAAACGCACTTGAGATGAGAAAGTCCAACAACGAAACGGTTTTACCTCTATAGCAAGCAAGATGACTCACAATGCACCCGTTATATCCCTTTCTTGACTATCTTTACTTGGGGCTTTTTTTGGAGTACCATTTTTGTCTGTTCTTCTTGACAATCTTTACTTTGGCTTTCTTTGGGATACCCCCTTCATTTGTTTTTGCAGCTCCCCATTTACCATGTGCGCATGGGTTGTCCAGAGCTGGACCCACAAATGCTACATTGTGCAAAGTTCGTATGAATAGGTTATTTCCGAGAGAATCACACTCGCTCAGAAATGGCATAAAGCCAGTTACACTGAGCTTTAGTCTCCATTCTTTCCAGAGACTTACAACCCATTTTTAAGTGTCTTTCCAACGTCTATTCCTCTCATCGTTGCAGCAGTTTGATTGGCTAAGCAGTGATTCCCACACATATGCCTCAGGAAAGGGAATGCAAAAGGATGATGTCTGGTAGATGATGCGTCCATCCCCACTTTTAAAAGAAAAGAAAAAAAACAGAATTTTTACAAACCATGTTATAGCTGGTCAGTTGGAAGTTCTTTCTCATGCAAGGAAGAATATATGCAGATATTGCTCAGCAGTAGAAAGATGAATACCCTGTAGCTTCTCTGTCTGTCTGCAGGCAAATGGCTCAGGAGTTACTCACCAAGCACTAGCAATTCTCTCAACCAACATATAAGACTTCACTTTCCGTTTGCTGCCATGAAACATAAGATGTGCAGAAGAACCCTGCACACGCTCCTTTTTTCCTCGCTGAACTACTATGCCTGAAAGTCGTCTCTGTCCGACTTCCTCAATCTGCTCATCCAAAACACAGAATTATATGAGACATATATGAGACAAGTCACACATCAATCTCCATGTTCACAAGGATTCCAGATTGCACAATTAGGTATGTGTGGCCAATAGAACCACCAGCACTGAAAGTCGCACGTCATTTGGGTACACCAATCACTGGGCCTACTAGTGTCTGAGCCTCTGGGTCTGGAGAAGGCTCTGCGCAAAACTCCACAGTGAGATTCAATATTCAATGGCTCTTTCCTCGACTGCGAAGTATCGGAAACCATCTCCATGAATCATCGACGCCACTGCCATGGGTACTGACGATTTAAGACGAAATGGCGATTACACTTAGTCTCTAGTGGTGTACGACGGCACATGTGCCCAACAACTTAACACACACCATAAACCATCAATCTGTAGGGGGAAAACGGTGTGGAGGCCCAAGGCCCCTACCGCCTTCACCCAAATAGAACGCCTGGTTATTATAGCTGTATCTGGACTGAAAAGTGCACCAAATACGGCTATAATGACCGGGCGTTCTACTTGAGTGAAGACGGTAGTAATTTCAGTGGTCAGTAAAATTTTGACGGTTTGACCCTGAGGGCCACTACAAGAAGCGACTGGCAATTTCCAGATCGGGAAAGGTTAAACCAGTAATCTGCAACCCCTATCAGCAGGGGATACGTGTCCGGGACCCGGAAGCCCGCAAGGATGTCCAAGCCCTGTTCTCGTGGGAAGATCCTAGATCCAAGGAATCTGCCCAGCAGAAACTCAGTTCGTGACCAACACGGACTCTCTTCACCACCACACATGAGATGACCTCCCTGAAGCAGACTTGACAAGCCAATATCACACCGACACAAGATCTATTGATGATAAGAGCCCCTTCTCGCCTCCCAAACAATCAATCGAATAACAATAGTAGTAGTCCTTGACTATTCCTGGTCTCAAAGGATGTCCCCTTCTACCACCACCCTCTCCTACCATGGCGCCACACAGCTATAAAATCAACCTCCTTCCTTAACAATTGACTATGGCGCTGGACAACTGCAAGGTACTGCTCTCCCCAGCAGGTTTGTGCGGACTTAACGCTCCTGCAGCTTGGCGGCAATCCCATGTCTGAATGACATCTTGACCTGCCCAGCCTTGACTTATATACCAAGGCCGGGTCTTTCCGCAGCCAGTAGGTACTGCCTCCGAACTGGCCCAGACAGAACTACCGAGCCTGAAACTCAAATATCTATTGGCACTTTGCAAAACATATGTGTAATGACCCGCCAAAACACAGACTGAGAACACTGCTGATTTCTGGGATTTGCCGCTGGAATGAATGCCTTGCTGAGATTCCCGCATTCTGCTGTGGTTGCCAAGTCTGTGTGTGTGTGCGTGCCTGCTGGTTTGCGTGCCTGTCTGAGTGCTTGTCGGCTGAGTGTGTGTGACCCGCAAGGGTACTTGTTGGTTGAAAGGCCCCGGGGGCCGGTACTTATCTGTGGCCGTGACTTTGAGGGTTGCAGCGGGGAAAACACTCAAGTAGCAGGTAGGCCGGTACCACTCAAGTAGTGGTAGAACTGTCGGGTACTGGAGGCCGAGCAGAAGAAGACAAAAAGTTGGCATTTTTAGAGGCCCAGTAGCGGTAGGTTAGAGGTAGGCCGGTACCAGTCAAAGTAGCCCGAGTCTAGGGCCTGTCTGGACGATAGCAGAGCCTGCAATGATGTTTCCCTCCGAAAGGGAGGAGGTACCGGTTGCTGGAAGGCCGCTCGGCCTAGGAAGTCACCACCCAAGAGGTCAGTAGGCCGCTATATCTTCCAGAGGAGCAAGCAGCTCCTCCTCTATGCAAGGATTGGCGACATGCTGCTGGAGCCAAGCGCTGGACTTGGGCAGCGCTGCCTGGAGGTGACGAGCAGCTGGGCGCTCAGCCTGGCTATGGCGAGCAGCCCTGCCTGAGGAGGAGGAAGAAGGGGGCAAAGGAGGAGAGTGGCGAGGTACCTACCTGGCTATGGTGGACACCATCTTCATCACCTTGTTGGGCGCTGCATCTGGAAGGCCCCAGTTGGGGTAGTGCCGCACCAAGGAAGCCCGAGGCAGAGTCAGGCATGGCAGCTTAGTCAGCAGTGGCATAGCTGCTTTGGGTTGTCCTTTGGACAGGAGAGCAGTGCCATAGCTGCTTTGCGTTGTCCTTTGCACAGGAGGGCAGAGCCCTCAGTAGTCCACCATAGCCTAGGCATGTGAGAGGTGGAAGAAGGGGGGAAGCCATGGCTCTGGTGGACCTATTGTGATGTCAGCAGTAAGAGGGAACTTCGGACATTGATTCTGCTTCATCCACTCATTGTTATTATTATTACTGGAAGAAGAATAAGATTGGCAAAGCGAAGGAGGAGGAGGAAGGTGGAGAAGAAGGGGGATTTGTCATTGGTATTGGTGGTGTACATCTTCTTCTTCTTCTTCTTCCTTCTTTCTCTCTTCTTTGGTCTCTATCTCTTTGCAAGTGCTTTCATTTCTTTCGCAATTGGGTGGCATTGTCTTTCATTGTGAATTTGCACTTTGGGAATGACCAGGATCCTAACATATGATACAATTACAGAAGACAAACATGAAGAGTACACTGAAATTGGAGCGCATCTAGCACATCCAGCCCTTGGCAAGCGGGGATGCCCACGAGAAGCACGAAGCGAGTAAGTGCTGTTGGAGCAGTTTGAAAGTCCCGCCAATTGGATAACGAACGAAAGGGAAGTTCCAGGGAGCCACTTTATCTAAGACACTCATGAGGAGCAAGCCATCGAATCGGACGCGTAGTTGCATACCCAAAAAGGTACAGGATCCATCTGACACTAGTTTTCTTCCACTCAAGGACATAGTGCTCTGCTGGAGGAGGTAAATTGCACCATGAAAGAACATCATGAATAAGGCGACTAGTGAAAGCATATTGGTGAGCGGCTTGAAGATCATGCTGACACATCTCATCAACAAAGCGCACTTGATGCCAATACAGTGTCAGATTAGAGCTTTCTAGGCCAGCACCAGTTCCTATGGAATACAGAACATCTGTTTCTAAACTGTGCCATCTGCGGTGTACAGCTAACTGTTCCATACAATGAACCGAAGACGTTGGAGAATCCAAGAAACAGAAGGATGCCCAGGCCTGAATCAGCTGTCCACTGGCCACAACAACGTCGTTGAATTACAATGTCAAAGCATTGCAGCGTACACGCTTGCAAGTATGGCGAAGGGCATAAGCATGGGCTTCATCAACAACTTTGGCCAAATTATTCAGAATGTGGTCATGAAGAAGGTTGGTGTACATTGTGGCGGTAAAACCAACAGTGTGAGGAGACAAATCACAAAGACAGCATGCATGTTTTTTAGGTCAAGCGCTACTTCATCGTCACTCTGAATAATCCAGCACTGTCGAACACCAGCCTGTTGCTAAAGCTCAGTGTCCGTCTCACAAAGAGTAGCGACCAGTCCTTGCAAAGCGGCACTGAGATACGAAGAAGTAAATCATTGTACAAGCCAACAGTTTGTGCGGAGGCCATTTGTGAGTGGTACGGACGTTTGGACGAGGGCGAGCACGTGGATGAAAAGCAATGTTGTTTTGTGTTGCAACTCCAAGAATGCTGCGAAAAGCCAGAGGAGATTTGCGAGCTTTGAGAACGTAGTAAGGCAGCGAATCTATGGGTGTAATTTCAATCGTGATTCCATATTGCATGGCTGCCAAGGACATCAGCAGCGGATTTATTAGGGCAGGTATAAGTGGGGCTGTCCAAATGGGCAGAGAGATGAAACAGATATCAATTCTCACAGCAGATTGCCAAATTATGTGGGACAATGGCAAAGTGTTGTTGAAGATGGTGTGAGGAGGCATGCGTAGAACGAAGTGAATGTGGCTGGCCCACACGACAGGAGGGTGAAGATGCCTTGGATTGACAATGTGCGAGGATTGCATAACGCCAGCTGTTCCACTTCTGAGAAAGAGACGAGAAAGTAGGTCGAGATTGTCTAACCAGCATTTTTTTGTAATTGTCAATGTACTCATCAAGCCTGATTGCCAGCGCTTGGAGAACATCAGCAGTTTCCCCATTCAAGTAAAATACTTGGAGCCTTCTTGAAAAAGATTGTGAAGGCCATCATCAGAGATGATACCTTAGTGAACGGACACAATATGCCCATCCACAAGATCAAAACAACGTGGAAAGGCTTGGCCAGATTCGCAGTTTGAGGAGTCCGGTAAAGTCGTGCCAGGAGTAACACTCGAGGCCGATCAGTTCGATGCTGATGATGATACATTGTTACTTCTACGAGATTTTTCTTGCACTGACGCAGCAAATTACGCATCAAATCCATGACTGATAGTTCGAACCCGTCCTTAGCTTTTTCTCGCACTGACGCAGCAAATTACACAGCAAATCCAACCCGTCCACGAATGATGGATCGAACCCGTCCTCAGCCTACTTACTCGGCAAGTTGACCAAGTTGAGTTTTTTCTTAAGAGATTGATGTTGCCTGTTTAGAAGTAGTGGATTGGGACCACTGACACAAGGATTTTCAGTCCTTTGCTCTAACCAACTACATATTTCAAAAGATTTGATAACGATCGCTATTTTTGCAGTCATTTGTTCAAGTGTGTTTTTGATCGAGAGCTTATTATATGACACAAAGTGTTACCTATCTACTTCTCTGAACACAATATCCTGAGTACCTATGATAGTAACCACATCTGCGAGCATGTGACGTTTCGACATAAAATCAAGCCCTTGTAAATGAGCAAAACCAGGTGCTCGAATTTTACAACGATAAGGACGATTGTATGTGCTGAACCCATGTCCTGATGGATTCAGATGAGTACAATTGTACCTCTGAATTTCTACCTAGGGCCAATCAGTTGGATGATGATGATACATCAACGCTGTCGGCCTTTTAAACCTCTGTGGTGTTACTCTTATGCGTGTCCAATTCGTCTGTTTATGTTTATGGCGCACAGTGCGAACCATCCCACCCCATTCAAAAAACACAGGCAGTGCTGAATCTCATGTTTATGGCTCATCTGTAGCATCGTCAAATAGATCGCCTGGGCTGTATTCGGCGGCGCATCTGAATCCCATTGGATACAAGGCATCAATGATGCACCCTGGCCCAAGGGGAGTGTGCACAGGGGAGTTATTCACCTGCGTTCTATTCGGGGCAACAACGACACGGCAGGCAGCTCATCATGCAATGATCCAGGTCTGATTCATGCAAGATCATCGATCCAAAAGCCAACTTTGTTATTTTTTTTAATAATTTACCCTTTGCCTTCCTCTTTTTTTTAACTAAGCTATATCCTTCTCTCAATTTCACCTGTCACTACCTACCGATCTATCACTACTACTAAGCCTATACAGGGGACCCCTACAAAGCATAGCTACCTCTCACAATTAAGGGAACCTTTTTTTTTTTTTAACTAAGCTATATTCTTCTCTCAATTTCACCGTTCACAATTAAGGGGGCCTGTTACTACTAATAATCCTATACAGGGGGGAACCCCTGCAAAGCATAGCTACCCCTCACAATTAACGGGATGCATGTTGCCCACCTTAACAAAAGGCAAAACAGAAAGAGAAACAAAAAAACAAAAAACAAAAAACGGAAAACGAGAACAGCATAGAAACAACTCATCGGAGGCCTGGTCCTACTAGCAAAGAGGATTGGATTAAGCGCCTGAATCCGGATATCTTTTATGACTAGATGCAGAAAAACAGCTCAAGGGATGATTTCCGCCCCCCTCCACAAACTCGTCCAGATTCAGGCGTTAAATCGAATCCTCTTTGCTACCTAGTGGGACAAAAGAGGATTGGATTCAGCGCCTGAATCCGGATGTCTATTATGACTAGATGCAGAAAAACAGTTCGAAGCCCAAGGGATGACTTCAGCACCTCTCCACAAACTCGCTGGTGCCACGGATGCGGGGGGGACGATCGAGAGCAGCCGAAAAAAGTGAAATCAATCAACGAAAAAAGTGAAATCAATCAAATAAAAGAAAAACAAAGGCATGTGAAATCAATCAAATAAAAGAAAAGAAAAACAAAGGGCCTCCAACCCCCACACAACATTGTAGCATATGATGAACATGGAAAGCGTAGACGTATGACGCCGCCCCTTCGGCCTACGAGATGAGATAAAGGTACCAACGGGCCCAGCTCAGTTGGTACACCCCATGAACTGTTGAAATATGAATCAGACCCAAGTTCGAATCCAGATGCAATC